TCTCCCCCTCCCTCCCTTCTTGCCACTTTGCCTTTGGGCAGCGTGAGCCGGAATGGTCTGAAGGAGTTAGCGCCATGCACATGAAGTGCTCTCTTCACCCGGACATGCATGTGAGCTGGGAGGGTTGTTGAGAGCAGAGTCCTTTAGAGCTCATAGACTCCATCTCAGGAGCGGACAAGTCAGCCTTCTGTCTCTCAGCTCGCACCCGCGTCAAATTTAGGCTAATTTATTTGGACCTCTCTTTTCTCCTGCTTGTTCAGATCCTTTTTTCTTGACCAGCTACTCCATTGGACATCTTTTTATTATTAAGCTTACTTTTAGCTTAAGGCGACATTTCATTTAAACTTTGGGAAAAGATAACGACTGGTTCTCCTGGTTTCGCTTCATAATGAAATGGAGAGGCGCGGGACACAGAATCCTTGAGGAAAAACGTCCTACCCCACCCAAAGAAACTCACACATTCCCATTTACCTTTTCCGTTCTGTGGGTAGAGGCACTATAGGTTAAAACTTCACTCCTGACTGTTTGTCACAAGCCTTTTCACGGATGCCTTTCCCTGACGGTTCGGAAAAAAAATCTTCATCGGGACAAGAGAACACGGGCTACAAAGATTTGCTACACTGCACCAAGTGCTATATATTGAGGGTTGGATTGCCGCTACGGAACAGAATCTAGTTATCATTGACCTCTGGAATTATGTATGTCGCTTCACATTGATTGCAACAAAGATTAAGGATATTGTGCAGTCATTCTGATACTGGAGAACATGGTTGCTTTCTGGTGACACCAGGAGGTAAGTTATAATGTTTGTGTAGATGCTTGCAGTTTTATGTGATGTGTTGTTCAAATCATACAGATTAGTTGATGCATTGATTTTGATTATGCCACTTATTAAAAAGCAACCTTTATGGAATTCAGATAGTTAGCAAGTCACACATTCGCTAACTTAAACACAGATCCTTTAACACGCATACCAGCTGGAAACCTGATTTCCCGCTAAGACATTTTTGTCATGTCATAAGACTGTGTCCTAATATCTTGTGACCATGTCAATATGTATTTTATTAACAGAGGATAAAGAAGTAAAAAGAATGTTATGATTTGTTGAGTCATCCGGTTATTAATAGCCTGTTGCCTGCTGGAGTGTTTTGGGATAATGCTCAGGTCATATTGAGCCAGACCAGAGCATTAGAGGAGTAAGTGGCCCGGGGCCAGCGGGGTGCTAATCTGCTGCTTTCAACCGCTGCTTCAAAGTCACACGGGGCCAGCAAAGCGGATTGCATAACTAGACCTTTGTTTAGGAAAACGTAGGCTGTTTGTGCTAGCTCCATCCGCAGCACCGCTTCTCCATACCATGATGTAGCAGAGAGTGACAGGGTGACAGTACTGGGATGTATAGTATTTATACGTTGGGTGTAGTGAGGCGTAATTTACTACATTCCTGTTAAAGGCTATAACTGTGTTATCTGTTGAATGGACTGGATGCAGACTTGTCAGGACTGTCACATCAGCTTATCCAAGACCATGTCTCAGTTTTTCACGCACTAATAGGTTTTAGTGTATATGCTACTGACTGTATGTGTACATTTATAGGCTCTATGTATGCAGCCGGAGTGGGTATACACATTTGATAACCCAAGCATGTTGTCCAAAATGGTACATTAATCCCCTTATGTTTCAAAGTACTTTTTGCTAGATTTTCTAATACACTGAGCCAATATTTCTTATGAACAACAGGTATGAGACAACAATACCTACACCTGTTCACTGATTTATAGTCATCAAACACCATTGTGTGCAGATGGAATAGGAGCAGTAGAGGGTAACACGAGGAGAGCCTTACCCCTAGGAATTTTTACGCCCTCCTTTTATACTCACAAGTGAAACAAGTCAAAGACAACAATACCTGAGGGGGGACTATGAAAAGATACCTCCACTCTGCTGATTTACAAGACAATGTGCTATTAAATCCTGTAATATCACTTATTTCCCTGTTGTTTGACCTGTATAGATAGATAGATATGTTTGTGTTTGTTTGTTTTCTTGTGTCCTGTTCTAATTCTATGTATACATTCTTGTTGTGGAATATGTTATTTATATTTTATTTATTTCATTTAGCATTTTTATGCATTTTTCTTCACATTAACAAAGGAAATACTCTTTTTGGCACAGTTTTCGGTATAGTTTTGTATATTAAGTTATTTAAGATTTAAATAAAACATAGTTTTAAAGTACAAAAAAAGTGTTTACTAGGTATGATTGTTTGTTTGTACTGAAGCAGTGTCCTCAAACCCTTCCCCTTTATTTTCTACTTTCTGCAGTGTGGCTGTCACTCGTTCCCAGGACGTTCCCTCCTTTGGCCCGCCAATTCCCAAGGGCGTGACCTTCCCAAAGTCCACTGTTTTCAGGGACTTCCTGTTGGGCAAAGTAATCAACGCTGAGAACGCAGCCCACAAGTCAGATAAGTTTGGTGCCATGGCAACACGGACACGGCAGGAGTATCTTCGAGACTTGGCAGAGCGACATGTGACTACTACTCCAGTAGAACCAACAGGGAAGTTCCCCTTCATCTCTCTGGCGCACAAACGACGAGAGAAAGTGCGTCCCTACAGCGGGGCGGAGCTGCGGAGCCTGGGTGCCGTCACCTGGCAGGTCCACGCTGAGGACCAGGTAGCCGGTGCTGAACGCGAATGCCTGTTGGCCATTTCAAATGACTTCATAATCCTGTTGGATCAGGAGGCCAAGGCAGTTGTGTTTAACTGTGCCACGCGTGATGTGATTGGTTGGTCAACGGGGAGCCCCGCCTCCATGAAGATCTTCTATGAGCGCGGTGAGAGTGTTTCACTGCGCTCCATCAATAACAACACAGAAGACTTTGGAGAAGTCGTCAAGAGATTGGAGGTCAGTGGTGCTCTACCTGTTTATGATGCTACACTTCATTAGCACTCAGCATCTGCTGTTAGCCAGCTGAGCAACACTGAGCAACACAGCTTTAATGAACACATGCAGTCTTCATAAATATATGAAACTATATTTATCACATTAAACATTTAATGTAGTAATCTGCAGAGTCGGGATTTAAATCACAAGTTCCATCACAATACAAAGTTATATCTATTCTTTGGGCAACAATACTATTATATATGTTTGCTTGTATCACAAAGGCTGCCACAATACAATTTATTTAAAAATCTATGGCCTGTGAACAATATGAGACAATATGCTATGCCCACTTAACTTAGGTTACCTTTATTTCAACCCACAAAAAACAAAGATATGATATAACAATTTCATTTCCGGGCTAAATGAAAACTATTTTATTATTTGTATGAAACCTATAGAAATAGACATTTTGTTTTTAAATATAAAGTGCCACATTTCTTATGTTAAAACCCTCTGAATGATTTGGAGGGAGGTGTGCTTGCACAGAAATGGTGACACAGAAGTGCCCTGGGAATTTCCAAAGAAAAGGCGTGTCTTTAAGATCATGGTGCTTATCGATGCTTCCACTCTACATCAACAATATAGGATTCTTTAAATCATATGTTGCACTTCTACTGCAAGGCTTATCCACTACAGACAACAATGACTGAACCAGTAAAATATATATGCTTTTCTAAATACTGCAATCTTAATGAGCGCAAAGGTCAGGGCAGGTAAGGCAGTTTTTTTTTATGGGACATGTGGATAATTTAGCTGATATTGCAATTAAATATATCTGCTACCAGTACTGGCATGCACTCTTCTCTGAAAAGCAGGTTCTGGCCTTGGTTGGCATTATGACTAATGCTTCAGCACTGAAGCTAACTGGAACTTCTGTGCTACTAATCACTCTTCTGTTTACTAAATAATATTTACGATCAGTTAACTTCTCACAGTTAGAATCATAGAAATTCTCTAATGGTAGTCAGTCATTATCATGGAAGTGTACCAAATTATTTAAAGTATGATATATTTAAAATATGATTTGTATTCATAGTATGTGTCTCAAATATATGCCTTAGCGGGAGTGGGATCAAAGCTAGTGTCATATGCACTTTAAAAGATGTGGTTGCTTTGAAGAAGATACATTAGTTAGTTCGATTTTTTTTAAGAAATCGTTTTATACATTATTCATGTCTTCTACTCCCTCCTTCATTCTGTTCTGTAGCTGTTGACCAAGGGCAGTCAGACCACAGAGATGACCCTGCGGCGCAACGCCCTGGGCCAGCTGGGCTTCCACGTTAACTTTGAGGGCATCGTAGCTGAGGTGGAGCCCTACGGCTACGCCTGGCAGGCCGGGCTCAGGCAGGGCAGCCGATTGGTGGAGATTTGCAAGGTGTCGGTGGCCTCGCTGTCTCACGAGCAGATGATCGACCTGCTCAGGACCTCCGTCACTGTGAAGGTGGTCATCATCCCCCCGCATGAGGACTCCACCCCGCGCAGGTAGAGTGGATTTAGATGATTTCTAGAAGTTTCTGCAGTTTTTGTGCTTTGAGGTTGTCCCATTCTGACTGTGTACCCTTCATGTGCCAACAGAGGCTGCTCAGAAATCTACCACATGCCACTCGTGGATTACAAGAACCACAAGGAGGGTATGCCCTATGAGTTAAAGTTCCCCTTTCGCCCAACCACCAACAACAACAACACCAAGTGGCCACGCACCTCATCCAGCCCTCAAACACGCGCTGCAGGCGCAGGATCACTGATCAAAGCCCCGCCTTCAGACTTCAGTGCCATTAACTCTGCAGTTATTCCCCGAAGTATGTCCAGTGACGGGCGACCCGTCCACCCAAAAAGGTAACGAAACAAATAAAGACGATGAGTTACAAGACAAGTGCATACAAGTACAGTGTCACAGATACAAAGAAGAAAGTAAGGTACAAAAAATGACAAAAACAAATTTAAAAAACGGTTTGTGTGTGTTTGAGAGATTAGACCAAAAAAAAGAGTAAGAAATTACAAAATTATAATTTAAAATGATAAGAGTAACAATATAATAGTCATGTATCCTGGGGGAAGGAATGTAAATAGTAGTTGGACCTTAAAAACCTTAAAGGAGTAAGCCCAGACTTAATAATAAATTAGTAATTAAGCCCAGAATAGCATCAACAACAACATTAGTATGAATGACAACAATATGATAATGATAACAACATCGACAAGCTTAATAGTGACAAATGAGTATTCGATAATAATAATAATAGTACTGATAACGGGAGCATGGGGAAAAAATAAATTGAATAAAAGGGTAAAACAATGCATTTAGTTTTTAACAACATACTTATGCTTGGTCGCAGATATTCCCCAGGGAATGACAACTACGCTCTCGCCTGCTCCATCGTGATGGGCCGCACAATGCACAACATAAACTCCCCTCCCGGCCCCCCCTACTCAGATACCACGAGCTCCAACCAGTGGAGGCAGAAGTCAATGCCTGATGGGTAAGTACCTCTGCCCCCTCACCATGAGTCACATATGCTAAATTGGCCTTCTGCACTACATGGCAACATAGGTGACCTTCCTCATCTCCCCTCCAGGTTTAACAACAACAACTGCCCGTCCCCTGGGTCATCGGCGCGGCGGATGGCAGGTGAAGGGGTCAATGGGATGAAAGCGGGCTCTAGTTCTGGTGTGGGATGGTCCCGACCTGGGGAGGGGGACAAAACTAGTGCAGGTAAGAGACACATTCGATGTTAACAATAGCACCAAATGAAACATGACTAACACTTTGCCAGCACATGTCTATGCACGTGTCCTCATTTGTCTTTGCTTCCCGCAGATACCGTGGCTTCCAAGGCGGTGAATCCTCGACTCCCGTTGTCAGAGCAGGGCCACATGTCTCCAAACAAAAGCACTAAGGTGAGCTGGACGCACCATACTGTGTGTAATCTCCTCTCTACCATGTGACGGCCCTGTGGGAACAGAGGGCTGCTGTTCATGTGCTTTTGAGTGAGAGCTTCAACATTTGTAAAGCAACCTGCGTTGAGCACAAGCCAACATTATGCAAGAATTTGTAACTTTACAAGTTGGTGCCTGTTTTAGTTTTAGAATGCAGTTTACTTATAAACCAAGTGTGTAATTATATGAAAGTGGACAGCTGTGCACATGCATTTCTGATGATTACATTATTTCTGACAGTCACCTCTCCTAATATCAGTCAGTATAGCATCAAAAGTATTTAGGAGCACTTTTATTAGGGTAAAATAGTTGAATTATGTTGCATTAGATATTGACAGAATGAGCTTGCAATATACTTAAGGGTGAAAATGTTAAATACATATAATAAAGATTGCTGATTTGATTCTTCTTCTCTTAAAAGCCGGATGCTCCGTATTCATCCAGCCAGTCGAGCAGCAACACGCTCTCCAGCAACGCCTCCAGCTCGGCACACAGCGACGAGAAGTGGTATGAAGTCGGCTCACGTTCAGGAGTGCGGAGCGATCTGGAGCTCAACGGATATCTGCAGGGCACCTCCACCGACAGCGGCATCGATGCCACCTCCTTCACTGCCACACAAAGCAGCACAGCCTCCTCCACAGGGGCCTTCGGGGCCAAAGACAAGAGCCTGTGGCAGGATGAGCCAGCGGACAGCCAGGGGACAACCAATTCTTCACCTCCGACACCAGACTCTCTTGTCGCCATCGGAGGCAGTGAGATCCTGGCGAAGAGTCCATCGGCCTTTCCACCAGCTCCTGATGTCGGCTCCTACAGCCTGAATGATGCCGCATCCCACTCCAGGTGTGCTGCTGAAATGTTTGAGTCAGCTGTAGAGAGCTGAGGAATTTGTGCTCTTGCATCAATGTTTCATTAAACAGATAGTGATTCATTGTAGTCCAGATATATCCTGGGAGCTCTGCGGTTTGGCATTTACAAAGGGAGAGAAGAAATAAATGGGTGTGTGTGGTTTTGCACGTGTATGTATCTCTGTCTCCCGATGTCTACGATAGAAAGGAAGTGCTTGAAGTTGCTAGAAATGCAGACTGTGAGCTCAGCACCGATCCCCCTCTTCTAAATCCCACTTCCTTTTGAATCAATGGAAGCTTTCCTCCGTCTCCTCTTCACTCAGCCATAAATAACTCCGCTCCAGCAGACCTGTGCATTGGCAACTTTGTTTAATAGTATGTGCACGCACATGAGCGCCAGCACACAGAGGAAAACATGCTGTTTGAAAATCCAAGCCTTTATGTCAAAGTACAGAGATATATTATTTGAAGTTGCTGGAGAGAAAGAGCAAGGACACCGTGTCCTATTTTTTATATTTTAGAATAAAAGTCCTAAGTTAATCCTATCTGCAAAGAAAGTAAGACATGGATCAGGTTAGGTTATTTTTCTCAAGAGAATCTTTTTATGATCTGTTTATATATGCTAATAGTGTTCTGCTAAAATATGTATGACTGTTTGAACTAGAAGGAACGTGACCATGTTGGTGCTACACCAATCACTCTAATTGAACCAGGTCCACAATGAAACAATAGAAACCCTGACATGACTGCTACAGCTAATCAATCTGCTATTTTTGCTTGTATGCTTGAAAATTAAATAAAGCTTAAAAAGGTCTTTGATGCCTTTTCTACCTATAACACGTCTCACCTCCCCGCTTTGTTCTCCAGCACACTCAGTTCTGGCCACTCAGGGAGTCCGATGGACCAGGGGCAGGACGAGGCAGGTGCTGCGGCCACCTCACCCACATCCCCCGGGACCAAGAGCTTCTACCCTCGCCAGGGTGCAACCTCCAAGTACCTGATTGGCTGGAGGAAACCCGGGGGTACCGTCAACTCTGTGGACTTTGGCAACACGCGCAAGTAAGATAGGAAAATGATCATTCAGGGTAGTTGTCAGTCGCGCTAGTGATGAGCAGCAGGAAAAAGGAATGAATATGTTCTTTTTTGTCTCACTGACAGCACACCTAATAATACTTTGTTGTTAACTTGACCAACACTGCCACAGTGTGGTGTAGTTGGGTTTGAAACTTATTTTTTTAACACACACTTATGGTTCCCAGGGAAGGGTGACTAAACATAAGTGCTCCTTTTTTCATTTGTACAAAGCGGCCCATGTGTCATTGTTTGTCCCAAGGGCTATTGCATCCTTTGCCTGATGATGGTGACTGCTGTTTCTAAACTGTACAGCTGTTCAACACACAACCTCATGCATGGTGAAGCAATTAAGTGGTTAAGTGTCTTTTCAAGGGCATGTTAACATCCCAGAGAGTAGTTGTAGCTCTTCTTCAAAGATTTCCATACAGTCTCGAAACTAAAATGGCTGACTTTTAATCACAGGCATGCTCTGTTGTGTTCCTGGCCACCACCACCTCTTATTGTCTATATAATGTCTGTTATTAGGATTTAAGAGGTATCTCTCTGAGTTGACTCTTGGTTTTATCTCCAGAAGACACCAGAGCGATGGTCTGCTGGGGGGTCAGCCACAGCTCAGGGCCAATCTCCGTGGCTCCCAGTCGCCCCAGCGGCACACCGCCAAGTCCAGCCTGGAGGAAGACTTAAAGAAGCTCATTACACTTGACAGCCCTCCACCCACCTCAAGTGAAGAGAAGGTACTGAGAAGGGCTCTAATTGTCTATACTCATGCCGACAACATAGTATAACTATCATTGACATGGGGTTAGTTGTTAGGGGTTTAAAAAAGGTGTTAAATTAAGATTAAAACAAGAAAGATATATCCACACATTTGTGTTCAAGAGGACAATCATTAGTCCCCTAAGCTTATACATTTGCATTCAAATATTTTCATTTTGTTTTACTGGAGTCCTGTCTCTTGTTTCCGTCCCCCTGTAGCCTTTGTTTCCGGGTCCGCTGCCCACCCGGCGCTCCCTCCAGAGAACCCTGTCAGATGAGAGTATTTACAGCGGGCAGAGGGAGCCGTCCTCCAGCGGGCAGCGTGACACGCCTACTGACCTTCTGTTCAGCTGCTCCACAATACCTCGCTCACCCACCACTCGCCAAGGACCAAGCCGGCGAGCCTCACACAAATCCCTGGGTGAATGTCCAGTATTTATATCTGATCATAGCAGATGCTGCAGCCTAGGACTTGTTGTCCTGAGGACCTTTGTTTTGTAGTTAGAACTACATTAATAACGTGAATAGTAAAACATCTTCCTCGTCAGATATGGTTGGTTATTGTAACCGTAATCGTCCACTGTTTTAATCTGCTTTTCTTCCTTCCCAGGAGACCTGTCAGCCCCAGAGCTCTCTGAGCTGGAGCAGGAGAGGCAGAGGCAGCAGCTGCAGGACGCGGTCCTCATGCCCCTGCCTGACAACGGGGCAGAGAGCCCGCTGGACTGGGCCCACCTGGTAGACGCCGCCAAAGCTTTTGAGGGTAGGCACCTGTCATGTTTTTGTTTCTTCTAAATAATTGAAATTAAAGGTTCAAGAATTATATTACTAGTCAGTAGAAGGTGTGGCAAAAAAATGCAACTGCCTTCTTTATCCTCACCAGAAGAGGGCGCTGTTAGTCCGTATTTGTTCTCTTTACAAGTCTAATAGTATATCTTTGAACTGCTTTTTTCTTCAGAGCAGAGGCTGGTCTACCTAACAGCCCAGGAGGAGAGCTCCATGGCTGAGAACGCAGCAGCCACCAGCCCCCAGCAGGCCGAGCCTCAGGCGGCCCCACTGAGACAGCCCTCGCCTGGGTAAGGGGCCTCAGGTCATGGCCAGTGTTTGCTTTAAGTCACTGGTGACTAGCATGGTCAGAGTTCACTCCAGTGAAACACTACTGCAGCTGATGTCACTAATTATTCCTTCCTCTGCCTGCTCAATAGTAGAATCAGCAACTATTGTGTTAGAAATAAAAGTAGACCCACATGTCGAAACTGGAAAATGTCTAGAAACAACAAACAAATACTCTGCTCTAATGATTTAGTTTGGGCTCCAGCTGATGCCATGATGGTCCTTTTTCCACAGAGAGACTCCAGCGTGCCTGATGGGGAAGGTCAGCCAGCTGGAGACAATGGTGAAGACACTACAGGACGACTTGAATAGGGTGAGCCATCTTTCAATCAGATTTACAGCTCTCCCAACAACAAACACACAGACTCAGTATGTCTACATTTTACAGTTTATGAAAAGCGTTTGAAATGTTCGATAAAAATCAGTGCTAGCAATACTAATACTAAATTTAAATACTCATGTTATAAATATAGCAATGCTAACTAGATGGAAAGCCGCATGAAAAATAACGATTAAAGAAATTGCTTACATTAATCGAACGCTTAAAGTAATCAATTTGACTCGGACAGACGCTTCCACTATAAGAGGTTTCCACTGTATATTCAATTTGTTGATTGTTTTGATGTCAATAATCATTGAAATGGGGCTTAAACATACATTATCAGATATTAAACTATAAGCGGCTCTACTATAAAACAAGATGGAGGACTATTACATTTTCATGATAATGGTGCTCTCAAGACATAGTTTTGCAATAAATATGTATAGAATTGGGAAGCTTTTAAAAAATGAAGTTATTTTCTTGTGGTTTTTGCACTTGTTGCTGAAATGAAATCTCTTATAAGGGAACCAGTATCTGTTTTTGTAATTCAATCCTGAAATCACATTACTCAAACATGTCTTTGTGTGTTCCAGGAGAAGGATGCCAAGGTGTCGCTGCAGGCTCAGATCCAGAACCTGAGGGAGGATAACCAGCGTCTTGTGGAGGAGTCCTACAGCGCCTCAGCCAAGCTTAAGAAGTTCACAGAGTGGGTCTTTAACACCATCGACATGAACTGATGTACACAGCTTACAGACTGCTACATTAGGAGTTTGACCACTACTCAAGCTGTAATGAAACTCGTTTTTTTTTTCAGTGCTGCAAACACAACAGACTGACTTATACAAACCTGCAACATAAACTGTTTCTCTCGGGCTTTTACAAACCAGTGCCAACATGGACCGTCTTCAGCCTTGTGGATCTGTGGTATAATCACCGTGAAAGACTTTTGGTGGAAGAACGGGAGGATAGAAGAAAAGGAGCAGCGGTGCTACTGTGCGTCTGTTTTAAATAGCATGCACTACCTTCCTTAGAATTTCACAAATTAATGCTTTGTGTGCTATCGAATGGATTGCTGGAACCCCTGCATGTCAGAGACGGCAATATGTCGAAACTAACCTAAAGGGATTTACAGTTACTGTCCCCATTTACCTACCCAGCTAACCTAATTACAAGCGCACAGAATTCCAATTAAAATGCTTCAACACAATTTTAAATATACTCCCCCCATGCAAGACTGACTGAAAATAGTCCCACATTCCTCTGATTGAGGTTTAAACTTTCTAAGAATTAAGTGTTTTTTGTATTAATTGCCATTTAATTTTCCCAATTCAGTGATAACACTGATTATTCTTTATTACTAACCAAAAGAAAATAAGCTATATGAGGTCATGGGAGGTATGGTCCCCCATGATGCTCCTTTGGTAGCAGTGTCGTTAGGCAGACACAGACAGACCCTCTGCATAGCACACAACCGTAAACACTGTAAGGTCAAATCTATATTGCGTAATAAAAGCTGTGTCATTTTTTTATTTCTAAAAAGTTGAAAACAAGTAAAACTACTGGTCAAAAGCTTATAAAAACTAAATATATTGTAAAAATATTGGTGCCATAAAGATATAGATTGACAGTTCACTGATTCAGATTATTGTAAATATACGATGTTAACATTTATTTTCTCACATCTGCCCTTGATCAAATATGTAAAGATTATTTATGACAAAGATGATGGCCAAGAAAATAAAAAAAGCAGTCATATGCAGTAAAAGGTCTGCATGAACTTAATATGGTCGGTCTATTACAAGAAAATAAATATATATATAAATATATATATATACTTTGATTGAGTTTTCAATTGGAGAAAGCTAACTTTTTATTCAAAATACTAATTATTGTTATGTTTTTTGAAAGTCCTTACAGTTTCTGCAGTGGATTGATTGACAGTGCCACCTAGTGTTGACAACATGTCCCCCATCCATAGCATGCTAAAAGGCTTCAATCTGATCCTTAAATCTCTCCATAGATTTAATCGGTACTGTTAAATATATGATTACATATTAAGATATTGTGCAAATCCTGATCTTTCAGCTACAGAGTTCTCTGTAGTGTGTCATCTGCTCGTAAGCCTGACCTAAATTTGGTCTGTAGATGACCACACAAAGTCCTTATTTAAGCCTGATAAGTTGTTCCTTTTGTACTTGGATACTGTGCAACTGTATATAAGGAGAATTTGATATTCATCAAAATTTGCACCTTCGTTTTTATTTTTTAAGATTATTTTTTGATGTACTTCTGCTTTACCGGCTAGGATATAGTGGAGAGTGAAAGGATCCATACAAAAGATTTACTGGGGAGACATAAGACAGGACAAAGACCATGATGAGCCGGACTCAGACGTATGAGTCCCCGGGCCCCTAGCACAGCAGATCGCCCCTGCACCTTCATTCTTAACATGTGTGACAGCATGTGATTCTGTTTCCATTGAGCTGTGATGTGTAAAAAAATGTTTATATCTATTAAAGATATTTTGTTGAACTACACTTTGTCTCACAGTCAACTGTTTGTCAAAATCAAGAAAAGTAATTTAACTGTCATGTGAGGTGGCTTTAAGAGTAAATGGATGTCTGTCAGAGGCTTGACAGGAGGTTGTTGCCTGCTGATTTATTGTGATTATCAGTGAGATGCTGCTTTCTCCACTTAGGCATGATTACACAAGGCCTTCACCCTGATAGTCTCGATCAGACAGATCGATGGATGAGGATGACATGGGAGACACCAGGATGAAGAGGAGGACCATTTTGGATCAAAGAAAATGGGATGTCATGGCTAAACTGCTGCAAAGCTGTTTTGGGATTTTAGGTCAATAAGAATGAAGGATAGGCTCACAAGTTTAGTAGTCTGTCTTAAAATAAATCTCACATGACCATTATGTAAATCTATGGAGGTGATGGTAGCTAAGTGTTTCCATTGGTATGGCATCATCGCTTGCTTTTGGAGAAATAAATCAAATACATTATTTTAGTACAAATATATACATGTATACAATTCCTGGGATCAGTCTTAAATTATTTAGTGATAATGATACTGACAGCCACAAAGGAAGCCTACTAACAACAAAATTATCTGAATATCTTATCATGAGGGCGGGTTATGACTGTAGGCTCTTTCTATGTAAAAAAATAAAATCAAGAATATTTTTTATTTTAATCTTAGAAGGTAGGCTACCCGTTGCTAATGTGATTATAATGGACGAAATTAGGTGGACAAAACTCAAGTTTTGTAACTGAGGTTACCTACTGTAACCCCAGCTTCTATGAGTAAATGGCGCAGCCCTCTAAGGCTATAGCTATTGGGTAATCCCCCTGCGCCCCCGCGCAGCACTGAAATACTTGTAGTCCACGCCCACCCGCAAGGTGGGCACCACCCTCGGGCCTCCTTCCGGTATAAATAGGAAGGCGGCCCGGCAATCTGCTCCCATACAACATAACTTTTCTTCAGCTATTCGTAGAGCCAGTGGGGCCCAGCGCTTAGAGGCTGCGCCTATTTACTCATAGAAGCTGGGGTTACAGTAGGGTAACCCTCAGTTCTACTTTCGTAATATCCGGGCTTTTGCCCCTCCTAAGGCTTCCGCTATTGGGTTAAGGGCGAAGCAATGAATGTAGTCTGCGCCCCACTGGGGTCCGCCCGTACTAGAAAGCACAGACATACCTGCTCCAATAACAACCCCCTGCCTTGATGTGCCATGCGTATGGCGCAATCAACGTACCTGGAACCATAGCAAACATGCCTAATCTTCCCGACGGGGGGTGGAAGGTGGGAAACTATACATAACCGGCCCCTGTGAAAGAAAGTAGAGAACGAAGTCCACGTTGGTCCTGCCGATCGTTATGGGGGAACAAGTCAGCTCTCTGCGTGCAGTAAACAGGCCGGGAAGAGCGCATCACGCTGGATCCCTGAACGTTCACTCATCTGACCAGGCAACTCCGTTCAAAGTGTCAGAGAAAAAGGACCATCCTCCTATAAGAGGGGAAAAAAGGGGCCGCTCTCCCCTGCCGAAAAGGCCCCAGGAGAGAGGCGCCACAGCTGGCTCCCTGACATCACTCACCCGAACAGGCACCAGTACAGGGTGTGGTCCAGAAAGGGAATGAGAAATCCCTAAAAATATAAATAATAGGGGGAAGACAAGATGCAGCAGTGCAAATGTCTTCCACTGACAATTCTCCCGTGCCAAAAGCCGTGGAGGAGGAAATTCCTCTGGTTGGACGTCGCATTGATGTTCCCCCGGGGGCTCCACCCCAGAGGAACCTAGCTGGTGACACAGCCTCACACCAACCTGCGTGTGACAGCCGTTGTGCAGACAGAAGGTGCCCCGATCGCGCGCTCTCTATAATGCACAAACAGGCGCTTAGAATGCCAAGGCCGCCGTGCGCACATAGCCAGGACAAGGGCGCACCGGGCCAGGGAGATGAAAAGATGGTGGCTTCTTCCTTCCGATTTATGAGGAGGCGGAAAAACCCATCCAGGGTGATCAACTCTTGACCTAAAAGAGCTTGTGATGACCTTTGGCATAAAAAGGCCTGGGTTAGGACGTAGCAACAGCCGGAACTGCATCTCCTTGGAATCCGGAGGCATGAGGCCACCGAGAGAGCGGATAGAATCACTCACCCTTTTTGCTGGATGTCAGAGCCAAAGCATAGCTAACTTTGGCTGACAACATTTTAAAGGGGGAAAAACCTGCTCTCAGTTCAAATATGGGCTTTGCTTAGTGCTCGTAACACCAAAGCAGATCGCCACTGAGGCGCCAGTGCGCCGTGGATACCAGTCTGAGTCTTCGTACCCCTCGAGAAAACGTTTGTCAGGGGATGAACTGAACAACGTCCAGGCTCGAAACCCCACGTGACAAGATGATATGCAGCCGCCATACCTTGATTTGTGCTGAAAGCCAATTACTGTCCAACACAGCTGAGGTAAATGACAGCAAACGTGGAGCGGGGGCAACGTAGTGGGGTCCAGACTTCCCTTTTCTACAGCACCAACGCTGGAACGCTGCCCATTGGCTGTGTAGGGAACGTAATGGTAAGACGGACCTGGCTCCCTGAAAATGGTGCGTACAACATCTTGAGAGAGACCCAACGATCTCCTAAGTGTTCCCGTTTCAGGGGCCATGCCCATAACGCTGGGCCTATCACTGGGTGACTGTAATCGCTCGCCTCCACCTGTGAGGAGAGCGTGCCACGCGCCAGCGGAATTTCCCACGGCCTGCCTGACAGGCGTACGCTGGGTAAGGCTCATGGAAACCAAGGCAAAGGGACGCCCGTCGGCCTCCGGGCAATTAGGGATCACTGACAGCCGGCTCCTCCTGCACTTTCGGTCCAGGGAACCCGGGGAATCAACCGGGAACTGGTGGGAAGCGTACAGCCAGTCCCCTGGGCATGGACGATTGTCGAAGCGGAGCGGTCCACCCAGGGGAGGTCCGCGCTGACAGGGGAAGAACCAGAGGAGCGCATTGCAGCGTTCCCGCGCTGCGGCAACAGATCCGCGCTGGCCAGCGCCTCCGGAACCCGAGATACCGGTCTCCAAAACCTGGGCGATCAGACCTCGGGAATGTAGGCCTCCAGTCCGTCCTGGGCGAGGACCTCCCTCTGGACTGAGGTCTGGCCGCCTTTGTGGCAAACAATTCGGCCGGGCACACTACAGTGCTCTGATGAGAGCAGGGTGTCGGCCGGCGTTTGCCCAGACGGTCACAGGCCGTCGCTGCTTTGTTTTCAGAAGCTTGGCGCTGAGCCGTACCCCGCCCTGGCGATTGATGTAAGCTGCCACGGCTCTGTTGTCAGTGCGGAATGCAAACCAATGGGCTGATTCTGCAGGGCAACGAGGGCAAAAATTGCTGATTACTTACGCGTACGGAGGATCAATTGCCAGCACCGTTTACTGTGGTCAGGACATGTGAGCCGGAGGAGGCTGTCCCGCTCTTCCCACTGCCCTGCAACCAATGCACGTTTTCCTCGCGCGCAAACCCATGAGAGACGGATGCGTCCTGTGAAGCAACCTGAGATGGCGCGGAAGCTCTTGGCCCAGGGCCACATCCGCTCGTGACAGGACGTGGGGCTTTTCGCAATAGGTTAGTCTGAACCGACGACAAGACGGGAATCGCCAAGCAGCGGCTCTTCTGTCGCCACGGGGTCGATGGCGTAGGCGAATAAAAACCACCTCTTGGAAGTCTTCTGCCATGTGAAGGAGACCCGCAGGGGAACTCACGCGGCTGGTCGCTGGGCATTCATGAACGAGCAGCCGCATAACGGAGAGGGCTGTGCACCTACGGCTGCGGGTGTGACGCGTCGATAAGGAAGCAGGCTGTCCAGGTGGCCGTCCGACCTCCTGTCCGTGAGAGACGCGGCTCATCATGGGCGGGCAAGAGTTGCAATTCCACACGCCAGGGTAAAACAATACCTCTGGGAGAGAAGAGGGAGGCAGCTCTTTTTTCCAGTTTATTCACAGAAACCCAGCTTTGAGCAGATGGCGAGATGAGTTTGTGATTTACCGTCCTGTAAACCACTTCCTCCCCTGGAGCGCGAGCCAATTCAGGCAGCAGGTCATCCAGTGTAAAACAGTACTCTCGTCCCTCGCCTCTGTTGTAGCGGCTGCAATGGACAGTCTCTACAAGTCACCTTTGAAAAGGTGCGAGGAGCCCAGGGAATAAGCCGATACGGCAGACGGTTGTAGCTGGACGAATATTCTCCCTGGGAATGAATAACCGCAGGAATGTTCCTGTGTTTGTGGGATGATGGGTACGTGGAGATGTAATGGCAGATCCTTTAGGTCTAATAGAGGCTGAACTCGCAGGCAGTCTCCTGGTAGAACACACTCTAGCACGGCCTTTTTGAAACCGTCAGCTGTGAAAAGCGCCTTTTCATTATTAGGCCTCGTATGAAAGCTGAACAGCATCACGGGATCAGGGTCTCATTCCCCCCCGTCTTTATCGGGATAAGAAAGTAGCGCGGGAGTCAACTAAGCCCCCTGATTCTTTCCCCTTGGGGAACCTGCGCTGAAAATTAGCCTCTTTTCAACAGGAGTTCCCGTAGCTCTGCTTGGAGGGCGCGCGACACTAGTTCGGGATGACAGGCGTATCTCCTGTTATACGGCGTTGNAGCACGTAAATGCTTTCGTTTTTAAAACCGTCCGACCTCGACTACAAAACCATCAACCAGTTGCATAGGATTAAAAAATGTCAACACTCACTCACCCCGTCTTAAACATTCCCAAAGAAGTGCCTCTGTCTCTCGTTGTGCTGGATGAAGTCACTGGCGACGAGTAAACCCAAAATAGTGCCAAACAGGCGCAGAGGCATTTTTCTTTTTTACTAGTTGTCCGAGTTCGGGGCCGGCAAATGCTGCCGCCATCTTGCTCAGCTCAGTTCTATTTCGTATATGGCTTCGCCCTCTAAGGCTATAGCTATTGGGTAATCCCCCTGCGCCCCCGCGCAGCACTGAAACACTTGTAGTCCACGCCCACCCGCAAGGTGGGCCCCACCCTCGGGCCT